GTTGGGTTCATGACAGGATGTATGGGTGTGACTTCGTGTGATAAATGAGCTGGCAGCTATGACCTGTCTAGCAATCACTGAAACCCTTTAATTTTTTTTTTCCTTTTTTGACATTATATCTCCTCCCCTCCATCATCATCATCATCATCATCATCATCATCATCATCATCCTCTCGCAAATTCCGCCTCCTCTTTCAAGTTTGGTATAAAATTTAACAACAGTGAATGAAGGAATGAGCAAGAGTCGATGTCCAAAAGATCCCCATTACTGCCTTGCAGAAAGGACTCCCTTTGGGTCTCCCCTCTCCTCCTACACCACCTTCCTGAGCTGGAAGCTAAGCCGGTTCCATCACTTAAACCTGATCATGAGCTCATCTCTGAGATTTTTGTTGTTGAGAGGATGGATCCCTTCCCTGGTTGGCGCTGTGCTTGCATTACTGCCTGCGCTTTAGCGGTGAGCCGCCTTGCATCAAGCACTGCTAGCGACCTGGGTCCTGGGAGGTGGGCTGTCCCGGATCTCTTGAGATGGGTTGGCCTTGTTTGAGGGGTGACCTACCGGAGGCAGCTGTGCAGTAGGTGGATATTGAGTACGTGGACTGGTTCCAAAGGGGAAGTGCTAGGACTGGACTTTAATCATTTTGCTGTCTGCAGGTTTAGTAACCTGATGGTCGATTGGCTGATTCTTCCAAAAAAACAAAAAAAACAAAAAAAAAAACACCATGATGGCCGATTGGCACATGCCGTCCCTTGGGCCTTCCCGCCATAAGGGGGAGGAGCGTGGGTGAGTACTCGTTGTAACTTGTAATCCTTTCTGACTTGCCGGGGGAATACGAACCTGATTGACGCTCCCCAGAGCCAGAACTGCAAGGTTCTGTTTTTTTCTATTAAAAAAAATAAAAATAAATAATGGACGACTAGGATGAGCGGCTGCTAAGGTACATTCCTCCACAAATCCTGCGGCTGGCAGAGGAGGATGATAGTGATTAGATGAAGATGACGATGAATGGTCGGATGATGAACACAACGACCTATGGAAGGGAAATCCCAAGAGCAGGTTGGCGAGCTTGTTTGATGCACTTGCCCTTCTCTCTTTTTCCTGGCAGACGGTCCAGACGGAAGTGTGTGATGCAGTTTCGACTACACTGGCTTCGTTGTTATCCCCCTCCTCATTGGGCTTTTTTTCCGGGTTGTTGTCACCATCTTCCTTTTCATCCTCGACTGTCTTGCCGCCCCCGGTGCCATTTCAGAATGGGGGGCGGAGAGCCGCTCTAGGGGATTGCCTTTAAATGTGACAAAAGACCTGGCTGTGTCCGGCGGTCAACGTCAGGAACTGGATCGTGAGAGGGGGGGGCCTATTCATCTACAAGCTGGTGTGCGGGCAAATGACGGATTTAATGACCCCTGCAAAGAAGGTAGGTGTGATGCTCTGGGGGTGGAGTCGGTGGACATATCATTCACGAGGGGGGGGGATGGTGTGATTGGGACCCCATGCCTCGTATTGTGAGATGATCTAGGGAGGGTTGGAACTGTGTCCCTGGGAGTTGTGGGGCAGTAGTTGCCCGGCTCGTTTATGAAGAGGTGGACCCTGATTCTAGGGGTTGTGCCCTTGCAGGTTGTGCGGGTGGCATTGCCCCACTCATCCATTGGGAGCCCTTTCTTGGTTCTTGATTATCTGGGGATGGAGATAAGGGGTGGATGGCACTGATCATGGTGGGGAGGGAGGGTGAGTAAGATGTGGGAGAGATGATCGCTGACCAAAGGGGAAGAGGCAACGAGGAGTGTAGAAGGGCGAAGCTGGAGGGGATTGTGGAACATCTCTGCCTGAATAGAGGGACTGCTGGGGAGAGGGTGGAGGGCTGGAGAAAAGAAAGGGTGGGACCCGGTGTGAAGAGTTTGTATTATTCCCCGATTGATCGAGGGGAGAACTGGGGAAGAGGTGGGGATTGGGAAGGGTAGGAGACAGGATTACAATTGGAGAATCTCATGTTTTGAGGGTGATTGTGTGGGTGGGGGAGAGAGTATGTGGGTGATGGGGAGGAGCCTGTGGGATGTCTTTTGAAGGCAGACTTTACTCCTGTGATTGACAAGCGTTTCTTCTGACTCTTCCTTTTTTCCATCTCAATCCATAGATTGCCCAGTGGCGGGGGTGTGCTGTTGTCATAGATTCTAGCGCTGGCGATATTCTCCTTGGAATCTTTACGTACTCGTACTGATGAATGGATTTGTTTATGGCATAACCAGGAAGTAGGGTTTAGTACTAAATCCTTTTTTTTTTTTTTTTTGGAAAATAGCCCTTGCGATATCCCTCTTTTCTGGCGGTGGTAAGAGAACCGTCGGAATTGAGGGCTTATCTGTCGGGCTGCTCCATCTATCCATTTTTTTAATCTTGTTTTGTTTTGCTTTGTTTTGGTATTGAATTCTTTTTTTTTTGTTTTTTTGTTTTAAGCACCAGTAGTTCCGCCAGCGTTGGGAAACTAGGGAAAACTGGCAGTTTTCCCAAACTCCTAAAAAGTCGGGGGCTGGGCCCGACGACGGCCACCGTTGATAAATCTCATCGGCGGCTGTCATTTCGTTTCGGCCTCCTAAAAGATCGTAGGCCCAGCCAACTCCTCCCTATTTCCCCAACCAGCAAGGGTACTACTGGTGAAAGGAAAAACATTTCATAAATATATAGAAATTTGAGGCCGGGCACCTCACAATTCCACCTGACTTATCTTGGCAGCCTTAGCCAGTTTCGCTTACAACAAGACCCAGGAAACTAAACCCCGAAGAAACGCAGATCCTTCGACAAGATTGACACTCCCTCTGCTTTCTATGTACCTCCTTCTCCTCTCAGCTACTCGAGCTCTCGGCTATCCTTGAGGCTCCAGAGCAGTGAGGCTGTTCCTCCGGGCTTGAGTCTTGTTGACTAAACCCTAAACCCTACCGGTGGACCCCTGTCTTCCTTTAGTGCATTGTTGAGCCCTACAGCGTGGATAATCCTGTGACTCAGTTGGAGAGGAGGCTAATGTTGGACCCTTGTTCTTTTTTGTGTGGGAGCTGGTCCCAGTGAAGCTTCCCGTATTAAATTGTCATGTTCATGGGTTCCCTCTAGTTTTGGTCTGTCCCCCTCTATGGTATCCTTTTTTTTTTTTTTTTTTTTTTTTTTTTTTTTTTTTTTTTTTTTTTTGTTTTTGTTGTTGTTGTTGAACTTGTCTAAGATATCCTGTTTTCTGGTGGGGTCGTCCTTGATACGCTTGAACACCCGTCGCCAGTCAGTCTGGTATTCAGTCCGCAAATTTGTGTGACCATCTCCCATGCTTCCAGCCTTCCGCCAGCGAAACGGTTTGGGTGTCGATAGTTTCCTTACATCGCGTCTTCCAGATTGCCCAGAGTGTCATTGGCCGCAGCCTCCGAACGAGGGTCCTCTGCCACTTGTCTGTGAACCTTGGTTCTGCCAATCCCGTGACGCGGGTGGTTGGATTGTCTGGCAGCGATACTGTGTTCACTGTCGTCCATAGAGCCTCCGCCCTGGGCCATAGCTGCCGTGCTTTCGGGCAGTGCAGGACGCAGTGAGGCAGGTCTTCCTGTAACCCATTGTCAAAGATTGTGCAAAGGTCATCAAATTCTCGCCTGACTGCTGCCCTGCGTCGTCTACTGAGCCACTTGTTGAATGGGAGGGTGTGGTAATAGATGAGCCTTGGTATGCTTCGAGTGCGGATGAGGGACTTGCCATGGGAGCGCCGTGTGTCCTTGTAAGCTCCCCGGGAGATGCCTCTCCCATCTTTGGCTCAGAATGTCGTTGGTATTGACCCCTCTCCTCCTAAGTCTGTAGTCCAGTCTTGCTAGATGGTATAGTCGCGGATGTTAGTTCTCCGGTTGGTGTGTGTAGCTGTGCCCACCGTCTTCCAGGCCAACTCCGCCAGGTCCAATTCCAAGTCCTGTCGCCGTGTCATGGGGCTGTAGATTTTGTAAGCGTTGCCGGACTTTACGGAGGACGCGCACGCGTACCGTCTTGTTGACCTTGCGAGCGCGTACGGTCTTGTTGACCTCGCGCGCGCGTACGGTCTAGTTGACCTCGCTACCGGTCCTGCCCAGCTGGTGAATGCCGTGTATCGTCCACAATGCCCACAGGCCCTGACATAAGCCAGTGTGACTGTGGGGGTGGCCTCCCAGGTCCGCAGGTGGTGTAGGAAGTACCCAGCAGGTAGGTAGAAGAAGACAGCATGGGGCTTTTGGTAGCCGACTTGAAAGCAAAAGGGAAAGGAGAGGGCAGATATGGAGAGCTTGAATTTGTAATCAATTTGAAGTTTGAGGGGAAAAGGAAAAAAAAGAAAAGAACGGGAGAGCTGCTGGAGCCAGGGGTGGAAATCAGGTGGCTCTGGAATCTGACAACTCTCTATTCACTCTCGAGGGTGGTGGAGCCAGGTCCAAGCTCTCCCAACGTCTCTGCTCCGTGAAGGAAGGTCCCTCTATGGGCCTTGCCACACACCACTGTCGAAACGAAGAGAGGACGAATGCGTCTTTCACAGAACTTGGTAAGGTGCATCCAGTGCTATTCACATGAACCTGTGCATCTTGCCACACTTTGAGGGTAGATGCACTCATACGTGCATTTTTTTTTTTTTTTTTCTCCCCTTTGGTAATCAATATTCTTCTGTTTTTTTTTTTTTTTTTTTTTTTTTTTAAGAAAAAGCCCTTATGCAAGGCCTCTATCCTGGTGGTGGTAAGAGAACCCCTATATTCTATCTCATCCTCTCGCTACTCTATGTATAGAGTACGCGGGGGACCACCACCCAAAACCTGGAACTCTCCCCACGGGGTAGGTTTGCACCACAGCAGTGGTGCGAGAGCAAGGCTTGTATCAGCCCCTCAGCAGGATGATGCAGGGTGATCAGGCATTGCCGACGGGGGAAAAATGCTACTGCCGAGCATCTTTGGCCAGTCACTTGCACCTCCCTCTAGCCCCCTCCAACCTCACATTAGCGGTGTCTAATGGCGAATATCATTGCTGCATAGCAACCGACAATATTTAGCCAAGGTCCTGCCAATGCTGGCTTGGAGAGCCAACGGGTTATCTCTAGTTGGTAGAACACCAAGGGTACGTTTTTCGGCTCGGGGGTGATGTAGCGAGGCCCTATTTTGGACAATCTGCAGTCTCCTCAACCCCTCTTTTGGACCAGAGCCTCACTGTCACGGTGGGGTACAGAGTGGTGGAGCCAGACCCCTAATGTCGAAATTTGAAGGTGCAACCTAAATTCTTCTCTCAAATTCTTTTTTTGCCTTTCACTACCTACCTACCACTACTCCTAAGGCTATATAGAGGGGACCCCTGCAAGCATAGGGCCTCACAGGCTCACAGGCTGGACACGAAAACTTTCTGTAAGAAAAAAGAAAAAAAAAACACTTCGTGTCAGAATGTCAAGAGGAAAAAAAAAAGAAAAAAAGAAAAAAAGAAAAAAGAATGTCAAGAGGGAGTATGTATGGTGAATGTGAAGTTCGATGGGTCGAAACCCGGGGTGAGGTCCCACTAGCAAAGAGGGTTGGATAAATATCCTGAATCTGGACGGGTTTTAAGCAGAGATGCGGAAAAGCAGTTCAATCTCGACATTCTGCACCTGTCCAAAAACTAGTCCAGATTCAGGTGTTCAATCCAATCCTCTTTGCTAGTGGGACCTCGCCCCCAGGAGACACCAACAGGCCTAGCTGAGTTCAGTCGGTACACCCCTACACTGGTGGAATACAAGCCTGAGTTTCAATCCAGCTGCAATCAGTCGGTACACCCCTACACTGTTGAAATACAGACACCTGAGTTTGAGGGCCTCCCTGAACCCCGATGCAATCAGATGAACAGGAGAACATAAATTCTTTTTTCTCTGATCATGTGATCAAAGGTAACCTCTGTTCTTGCGTCGAATTCTGTCAATCAAATTCACCTTTCACTACCTACTCACCACTACTCCTAAGCCTATAGAGGTGCCCCCCCCCCCCCCCCCCCCCCCCCCCCCCCCCCCTGCATTCAGCGTAATCCTCAATTACCTGCGGCGGTCAGTTCAATCGTGAAAAAGGCGGGAAAAAGGGGAACCGGCCGGCGGAGTGGTGTCGGCAGCCGTGTTCTCCACGGGAACAGCGAAGCATGCTCTACGCTCGGCGCGCTCGCTCACGGGCGATCGTCCGTCCTCACTCTCCGGCGAGAGAGAAAGCACCGAGGTGAGAGAGAGAGAGAGAGAGAGAGAGAGAGAGCACCGAGGTGAACTCTCTCGCACACACGCAGACACAGACAGACATACACACAGAGAGACACAGACACACACACACACAGAGAGAGAGAGAGAGAGAGAGAGAGAGAGAGAGAGAGAGAGAGAGAGAGAGAGAGAGAGAGAGAGAGAGA